CAGATTCTGGGAAGGCCATGTGGAGGAGGCAGCGTTCGCTCTGGGCCTTAGCGGATGAACAAAATGTGACCCAAGATGTGACCGTGTGGAGGTAGAGGGGAGGGAAGAACATTTTAGATAAAAGAACTGAGGAAAAGCAAAGAGGAGGGGGAAAAATAGGGCACATTTAAACAAAAGCAAGTTGCCAAATGTGGCTGGTATTCAGGAGTTTTAAGCTAGAGTAGAAGGAAGAGCAATAGAAAAGCAATTTGGTATCAGTTAGCATTAGACTTAAGGCTAAAGAGTTCGGACTACATTCTAGAAGTAACGTGGGGCTGTTGACACCATCAGATCTGTTTTAACAAAGGGAGTGACACCATCAGACTTGTTTTTAAAAGATCACTCAGGTCATCGTCCAGGTGAGAAACGAGAGCCTGAGATAGAAGATGAGGGGAGGGGCGAAAAGGAGCATTTTCTATCAGCAACAATAGTGTTTGGGAAAAACTCTCATGAGCTCTGCAATATCACTGCCGCATAAGGATATGTTACAAAATAAAGAGCTCTCACAAATCGATAGCAAAACACAAAGGAGCCACAGAAAAAATGGCCAAAGATTATGTAGAAACAATTTACAGAAAAAAACATTTTCATATGCTTGCCTCGGTAGTAGTAAGGAAAATGCAAATACTCAAAATGCTGTATTTCATTCATAAGATATACACAAATTAAAAGATGGCTTGATGAATGTATAGAGAGATGAACAGATGGCAGATATATAGATCAGCATTAATGATAGAATGTAGATAGTGGATTTATGGGTGTTCACTATACAATTCTTTCAACACTTCTATGTTTAAAATGTCCATAATAAAATGTTGCGGGGGGGGGGGTGTTGGCAGAATTTTAAACCACAACGCTTTTGGCACAGCAATTCCATTTCTAGGAATCTACCTTATAGAAATAGGTGCTCGCGTACACAGGGATAATAAATAGCCAAGAAGGACCCTGGCTGGTGTGGCTCAGTGGATTGAGTGTCAGCCTGCAAGCCAGGGGGCCGCCGGTTCTATTCCCAGTCAGGGTGCAAGCCTGTGTTGTGGGCCGGATCCCTGGTAGGGGGCGCATGAGGGGCGACCCCACATGGATGTTTCTCTCCCTCTCTTTCTCCCTCCCTTCCCCTCTGTGTAAAAACAAATTAATAAAATCTTTGTAAAAAAAGAAAGAAAGAAAGAAATAGCCGAGGAGGTATGCTGAAACCCTTTGTGTTACAGGGAAGAAATGGAGACCCCTTAGGTATCCAGCTGTTAAAGGCTGAGCAATGGTCCCTGGAAATCGGAGAAAGAAGTGTTGGTGGAAGATGGGAAGAAAGAAGAGCAAAAGACGGGCTTGAGAAAGGAAATACACAAAAGAACTCAGCTCAATGACACTCCTACTAATCCTCCACTAGGAAGGACAGGGGCCCTGAGGAGAGAGGGAAATCATTTTCCAAAGGCAAAAGCACGCAGCCACATAAAGCGCCTGTTTCAGAAACCACTAAGTGGGGAGAGCTGTACACATTACCTTTGGCCCCCTGCCCTCTCCACGTGGTTCCACCACCCTAATACAAAGGTTCGTGGTTGGTTTTTGTTTTTCCTTTAAGCCTTCTGTTCAAAATAGATCCCAGCCTGGTCTAAAATCAAGGGATACAACCATGGAGGATCCAAGTCACTATCCTTCATAGGTTCTTGAGAGCTGGAAAAGGCCTGAAGAATCACTGAGATCAACCCCCTCCACCCCCATATTACAGGTGAAAAACTGAGGCTCAGAGGGAGAAAGGGCCTTGATAGAACCAAAGTCTCTTGACTCCCAGGCCAAGTTCTTTCCATCTCGCTGTGAGATTGTCTGGGCTTCTCCAATACCACCTGTTCCACCTCAGAAATGTGAGTCCACTCTTGCTCCCACTGGTGGTCTCCAAACTGTTTTGCCTTATAGGCTTCATTGTGAAGGCAGGTCACATGATCTAAAAGACTTTGCCTTCCTCTGCCCTTTCCCAGCCCCCCATTATGCCCTCTGTCCATCAGCCTCAGACAGTCGGTGAGGATTACACACAATCTGCCGGCCACCTCCTCTACCTTCCCTCAGAGCCAACAAGGCCAGCCACCCTGGCTCCTAGCAAAAGGCCAGACCATATGGTTCATGGGCAGCTGTCTCTAGGACGGCCGATCCCAGCCCTACAGTCTTTGTTCTCCACTGGCATTGGGAGACGCTTTCTACCGTGAGCAGGCCATTTGCTCAAGTTCCCCAAGAGGGACGTACTGCCATTGCTAGAATATCTAAGCAGAAGGGAGACTGCGTAAGGCATTGCACATTAACAGGAGGCTCTACTCAGTGACGGGGCTATTCGCTCGCAGTGTGGCCCAGCTCACAAATCAGGCACGGCTGCTCTTGCCCTTCCAGGGGCAACTCCAAAAGGCTTAGGTCTGATATTCAAAGACTCCCTTTGCAACCTCAGTTTCTATTTTCCTTTTTCAGCTCAGCAGTCCCACTACCAATCAGCTGTCCCCTGCATATCTAGCACCTCCTTTCCTCCATGAAGGCACATGTGTCATTCATGTGCTCAGGAGGGCTCTCTCCCAGCCTCTGCTGTCCTGCTCTGTTAGTTTAAACCCTACTCAGAGCCCTTCAAGGCCCACCACAAATGCCTCTTGAGGACTCACCCAAAACCAGAAACACTCATCTAAATCAACAGGCCTTAAAGTTGCAGGTTTCAGGGGGTGGGTGAGCTGCCCTGGGTGACCAGGTGCGATTAGAGCCCAGGGCTCCCAAACTTTTAGTCCACTATTTTTCACTATTCCATATGGCTTCTGCCTTATCTTCACCGCCATCAAAGCACCTTTTTCCCCTGTAATATGGCATCTTGTCCTTGTATACACCTTTCCCACAACAGACTTGAAGGTCTCTAAGGGCAGGAGCCTCTATTATCCAGTCCTCTCTGTCCTCATTTCTAGCTGCTCAGCACAATGTACCACACCGGCAGATTCTCGGGACTTTTGCACAACAGGCCAGGCCAGTTGCCTTGGCAGGGACCACAAAGCGATGCAACTGCCTCAGGAAAACTCAAGGCATATCAGAGGGGGAACTGAGGATTTTCCCCCTTCAGAGACCTTGGCTGTTCAGAAACACTGCTGCCATTGAAAGCCTATCCTAGTTGAATGGACATCAGAGTCACCCCTTAGCCAATGAAAGGAAGGGGTGGCATTTTACTTCCCCTGAAGGTGTCCGTTCTCAAGGTGTTATGGAGCTTCGGCTCTATTAACTCCCATAAATAGGGGCGCGCAAGAAACCAAAACCTAGTTTATTTTTGCTAGTCAAAGGGATGTTTTGGGATAACACAGCGAAGTCAAACTGCATGGATTTCCAGATGAGGACTTGAGGTCCAGAGAGATGCTGGGACTTTTCTAAAGTCACAACATGAGTGGGTGACAGAATCTCTCAGTTCCTTGTGCAAGCATCTTTCACCTCCACCAGATCAACAGGTGGTTGTCACCAGACTCATCTTAACCTGAGATCAGAAAAAGCTGAAGCCTAGATGAATGGATCATCTCCTTTCACAAGGGAGGGGGGGCGTATTTTTTTTCTGTTTCAAACATCCTGTCCTTGAGTACAGACACACATATACACACACATTCCCTTTTCAAAGGAAGGTGTCTCCAGCTGCCCACATTGAACCAATCTAGACTTTCGAAATCTCAACCTTCCCTCTAGGTATCCGGCTGGAACAATTATCCTGGAGTTAAATGCCCATTTCTGCTAACTTGGTAGTTACCTAGAGTGGCCGCTATTGCAGGCTGCCCAAGTGTAACCATTTCTTGCTAAGCCTGAGCCTTCACTAGGGAATGGCAGCATGGGTAGAGTGAGGAGTCAGGACCTGAGATCCTCCAGGTTCTGCAGTTCTATGTTCTCTTAAAATAAATCCCTGATCCCTTAATTTAGGATTATGAATGTTCAGGCTCTGAAAAGTCCTGTTAGTCATATAATATGAATCCCTGCGTGAGGCCTGAGCATCTCCCCCAATATAGCAGTCAGGTAGTTCTTCAACATCTTTTCTGCTTAAGGTCTTCAAGTGACTCAGAGGCATCCTGACGGCTCCATCTCTCCATTAGACAGATCCAAACCTTGCTAGGTGTTAAGTGGGATAATTCATGTCAAGTACTTTGTAAAATGCCTGATACACAGTAAAAGCACTCCTGTTAGAAAGTGCTTCTTTACAGTAAGCTTATTTCTGCCTCCTGGCGGCTTCCACCCTGTTGAATTCTTACCCATGTTGGGTTTTCCTTTCTGGGATCACACAGAACAAACATCATTCTTTTTCCACACGACAGCTTTGCAGACACTTGAAGAGAGCACCCCTGCCCTGCTTCCCTTCTCTAAGCGTGATTCACTGCCAGACAACCTCAACCCAACCAGACTGCACCTTCCTGCAGATAGGTGGCTTAAGGTTGGCCTTACTCTTCACAAAATCATGTCATTTGTCACCAGAGGCTGTTACTTGGTCTCTGCCTGGAGAGTCGGCCTAACAGAACGATACTTACCCTGTGACCTCAAAGCCCCTTACAGCCAGCAGAGCTTCAATTCCTCAGGGCAGCTAAGCGCTGAAGAGTCGGGAGGTGGAGGTTGGGGCCCTCCGGGCAGCCAACAGCTTCCCCACCCACTGCCGTTGGCTCCTCACCTCCCCCACCTCCTCTCTTCCCCATTTCGCCATCCCATCCCTACGGAAAGAATATTCAGGAAGGGGTAAGGTTTTGCCCCACATCCTTAAATCCATAAGCTCACTTAGTGACTCATGCAAACTGGCTGTTCCTCCATGAGTCGCGCCCAGCAGGCGCCTCCGCTCAACTCCCTACTCTGGCATGCCCCAGTAGTCCCAGTCGGGCTCCGGGAGTAGCTCCTGCCTCTTGTCACTTTCCCCAAGCTGGTGGCAAAACTGGGCCGTTCCCCTGACAGTGCAGGCACGGATTCCAAGGGGAGCGGGCAGCGGTAATTACCTTACCAGCGGCGAGGGGCAGCGCTCCGTCACACGACTAAACCGGCAACCGGGTGAGTCCCCACTTAGGCTGCGCTCGATCGGCCACGCTGCACCACGCGGCGGTCAGGGCCACGGGCGGCAGGCCGGCAGGGGGTCCCGCGTCCGGCGCAGCCCGGAGCGGGAAGAACCCACTGACGGGCGTCCGGCGACTGAAGCAGCGGATCGCCGCTCGCCGCCGCCTTGCCAGAGCGAGCGAAGGAGTCGCCGGATGTTCGTGTCGCCCCTGGCACCCAGCCGCGCCTCGCAGGGCCGTGGTCGTCCTCAGCAGGTTACGGGCGCGCCTGGGAGCGCTGGCGGAGGTGCGCGCGGCGCCAGCTAGGGTCCCAGGAGGCCTTCATTCAACCGGGTTGCTCCCCCGCCACTGCATGCACCTCGCCAGCGACTGGCCGTCGGGGCGGCGGGTTCTTTGGGTCACAATTGGCGGAAGATGGAGCCGTAGAGGCAAGGGAAGGGGGTGGTGGGTGGGGGCTCGGGGGGAGGGGCCCCAACTCTGAAGTTCAGATCGGAACTGTGCGGCCCGCCTGGAGGAGGCTGGACGAAGGCCAGTGGAGGCGGGAGCGCCCCGGCGAGGACAGCTCGAACCTGCTGCGCTCTAATCCTCCCCTTACCCCGCCCCCCGCTGCCTGCTTTGGTCTCCTAGCCGAGTTTACTCGGCCGAGCTTTGGCTTGTAAACCAAACATTTCATCAGCCTAATTGTTGAGTTCCGGGGAGCAAATTGACACGACCGCGGGAAAAGCGGTCCTTACCCTTAGCTGCAAAGTGCGAAAGGGCCACCTGCACTCACCACCTGAGCGACTAGCGCCGCGCCACACCCTCGCCTTCGAACCCCGCCTTGTGCCCCGGGGAAGCCTGGCGGAGTAGCGGGGTCAGAGGAGGGCGGGGTGGGCCGGAGCGACCAACTGTACACAACTTTTTTTCTAGATCCATTCAATCCGCTTCTGGAAGTTTCCCGGGGATTGCGGCGGCCTGAGGAGGGCAGATTTCCCTCATGTTAATCAGAGTGTACATTTTTCAACACCCCCTCCCCTTTTTTATTAGCTGCGTAACCACAAGTTTCCAACCAACAAACCCGGGGCAGTTGAAAAAAGAGAAGGCTAGAGAGCGATGAGCCCAGGAGCTTGAATGGTGCTCTTCCTCAGCTCTCACCATTTGTGCATTAAGACCAAAGAGCTCTGCCTACTCAAGATCATGCCTCCTGGCTGGGATACCTTGCATTTCAGCCCTTGGTTGGTAGGTGAGAGGCACTGATTCAAATTTTCCAGGAAGGTTTAAAGGACACACCTCTGTTTTTCCTTATTTTTTAAACTTTATTTGTATTGTTGACATTGTTACAGATGTCCCCATTTTCTCTTCTTTGCCGGCCTCCACCCAGTCCCCACCCACTCCCCGCTGTGGCCCTCCTGGCACTGTTGTCTGTGTATATGGGTCACGCATACCTGTTCTGTCTCATCCTTCCCCTTCTTTCATTCAGTCCCCCTTTCTCTCTCCCCGCTGACAGCTGTCAGTCTGGTCCACCTGTCCGTGCCTCTGTTTCCATTTTGTTCCTCACTTTATTTTGTTCCTTAGATTCCACGTGTAAGTGAGATTATATGCTATTTGTCTTTCTCTGCCTGGCAATTATACTAATAAATCTGTATGACATGCCAGGGATAAAAACACAAGAATCACTCCAGCATTCTAAAACTAACAGTGTTTAATGGAGCCAGTTGTATGAGGCAGCACTCCTCGGTATAACTTCCTCAACATTCCACCAGAAGGCAGAAAAGCAACCCTCCATGATAAATGAATGGGCAGAACAATTGTATCCTATAAAGTTGCCTCGGGGATGCCAGATGGGTCCTGACTTCCAGGACAGCCTGTTAGCTGCACACAGAAGCTACATGGGGGCTCCCAGTGACATCTTACTCCACCTGCTCGTTGCCTACCCATCTTGGCCTCCTCTTGCTCCTAGTCTTATCGCAACGGTATGCAGTAGCTGATGGGAGACTGAGGGGATACTTCCTCCTCCAAACCGAGAGGGAAGCCGTAACCAGGGCACTTCATCACCTTGGAGCCTCAGTATTCTTTACCTGCCAAAATGACCGTAATAAGACCTACTTCACAGCATTTCAGAAAAGATTCAATGGGTTGACCTATGCCTGGCCCGTAGTCAGAGCACCATAAGGGTTTGTTTCCCTTCCCCTCCCACAATGAAGGAAAGGCAGAGAGTCCCAGATGCCCTACATACAGGGCCCATTACTCTCCACGGAGGCAGTCAGATCAGCAATGGTTAATCATACTCTGAGGGAAAGAGCCTGGCCTCCTGCTTTCCTCTTCCAAAGGGCCTGTGTTGATAAGCCCAGATAGGAGGCTTTCGAAACAAGGCACATTTTTGAAAAACGATCAAGAACACATATTTTGATTGCTACAATTTACATGATGATGGTAATAATAATAATGTTTGTGCTAAGTAACAAGCCTCTGCAATGGGGAAGGAAACAGACAGATGCAGGAGGATTAAAGTTTTCTGAGATAGGCTTTTCTAGATTCTGCACATGGGCAAGCATAATCCCAGAAACTTTGATCACAAGAGACAGCTCAAGAGGTCCTTACCCAGCTGCTTGCCTCCCAACAGGCCCTCGCCATGAGAATCAGTCCCGTGTTTCAAGTTTCCCAGGGAAAGACAGACTCAACAAGTAAACAAATATTCACTAGACACCTAGGCCAGGAAGCCATGCTTGTTCATCCAGGAGATAAGGTAAGTAAGCAAACAATGCTCCCTCCACCTAGCATCTTCTTCCTCTCATTTTCCCAGAGACTATAGAAAGTTGAACTGACATGTAGCAAGCAAACTGCCATCGTGCACTTCTCCTATTGAAACTCAAGCAGTGCATACATCCTGTATCTCCAGCCCTCTAACCACCCACTGGATAATACTTAACAGCAGTCCACTGCATATGGACACCTCTGACTATATTCATTTAATAGAGTGTGCTACTGCATCTAACGAGCATTTGAGCATGGTGCTGAGCAGGCCTTGGACTTGTTTCTGGACTCCTTATGGGCCGGTTGCTGTTATCAAGAGAAAAACCCTGGCTCATCTCACCCTGCCAGCTTCCTCCCAGGTCTGTATCTGCATCTTATGCCTTCCATCAGCCTTAACATTTTTACCTGTGTGGGGGAGGGGCACTGAATAATGGTTTCCCAAAGATGTCCCCAACCCAATCCCTGGGACTTGAGAATGTGGTACCTTACATGACGAAGTGACTTTGCAGGTGTAATTAAATTAAGGATCTTGAGATGGGAGATGATCCTGGATTATCCAGGTGGGCCCTACACGCAATCATATATATCCTTAAAAGAGGGAGCTGGGGGTGGGGGGAAAGGGAGGGGTGGATTTTACACACACAAAGGAGGAAGCAATGTGAAGATGAAGCAGAGGAATATTTGAAGATGCCGGCCCTGAAGACTAGGCTGATCAGGCCACAAACCAAGGAACGCCAACTGCCACCAGAAGCTAGGAGAGGTAAGGAAGAGATTCTCCCCTAAAGGAACAGCCCTGTCAACACCTCCGTTTTCACCCTGTAAAACTAATTTTGAACTTCTGAACTCCAGGACTGCAACAGAATAACTTTCTGCTGGTTTAGCTCGCTAACTTTGCAGTCATTTGTCACAGCAGCCGCAGAAAGCTTTTATCAGTCATATGTAAGTCCCGTTCTTCTGATTTCTTGTCTGTGTCCTTGCTGCAACTCCCTACCAGATTGTTAGCCACAATGCCCAGCAAAGGGCATTCAATAAATGCCTGCTTACTGGCTGACTTAATTCACTAAATGGATGGATGAATGAGTGAGTGAATGAATGAATGAAAGAATTGGTGCCACTCATCAGCAAAGTGGTCAGAGGGATGGTGTGGGGAGAGAGTGCCCACCTATCTCATTGTAACCATATCTACGGCTGGCATAGCGTCAGGGGGGTGCTCAGCTCAATTGGTATATTTTTTCCCATGCAAAGAACAATACATTATGCAGTTTCTAAACATCTAAAGGATGTTACTTAGGCTGTATGGTATGAAGTAGTTACCTAGAGATTTTATTTTAATCCTTAGCCCTGCTGTCAGTACACTGGTGACCCTGGGTAAGTTATAGTCCAACTCAGAGCCTCAGTTTTCCCATCAGTGACATGAGGATATTCCTAGGCCATCTGGAAGATCCCTTCCAACACTGTTCCTCAGTAGTTTTTAGAATTATACCCACTGTTCTACTGTTTAAAACAAAATTACATATTTCTAGAGAGAGGAAGGGAAGGAGAGAGGGAAACATCAGTGTGTGGTTGCCTCTCATGCACGCCCTACTGGAGACCTGAGATGCAACCCAGGCCTGTGCCCCGACTGGGAATTGAACTGCTGACCCTCTGGTTCACAGGCCAGCGCTCAATCCACTGAGCCGCACCAGCCAGGGCCCACTGTGTATATCTCCTTTAATTTTACACTTCGGTGAGGTAGGGGGGAGGCCTGAATTAGGGACGGTGAGAGTGTAAATAGGAAGAGAAAAAAGAAAATCAAGAAACGATGGCACTGGAAGAAAATCATCAGACCTTTTGAATCTTGAAACGAGATGACACGTTCCCGTGCGCATGCAGACATGAGTATTCGTGGGCCTCTCCTCTGGCCTTAGTCATTTAAACCACCGGGTACCTCACAGGCTGTGTTCTCACATCGCCACCGTCCTCTGCTTTCATTGTCTGGCCAATATCACAGTCACCACAGGGAAAGGAAAACAGTACATACACCAGTGTCAGGTTTCCTAAAACACCCACCTCCAGACATCACTTATATCAGCAAAAATCTATAATGGCTCCCTATCGCTTTGGGGATAAATAAAGTCTCAAATCCTTTGCACAGCATTTGGAGCTTTCTATCATCTAGGCCTGCCTTCCTTTACGAATCTGTCATCCCCTGAGGTCTGTGCCTCAGTTGACATTGTCGTATCTTTTCTGAATGAGCTGTACTGTTTCTGCTACTTGGAAAACCGTCCCCACCCCCATTCCACTACTTTTAACCTGCTAAGGAAATCTCATACCACCTGCAAGGCTTAACTCAAATGCTACTTCCTACCTGACGCTATCAGTAAGAATGAAGCAAGCTTCCCTTTTTATCTTACTTGTATCTTATTTATTTAATATAGTTTCATCTACAGAGCAGTCTTGGTAAGTACTCCTTAAATAAATACACAAAAATGAACGCTGAACTTTCCATACTTGAAAGTGTCCCATGGAGAGCTCCTCATAATGTTCAACATGGAGTCTGCTAGTTCCTTATAATGTTAAACAGAGTCACTATATGACCTGCAGTTCCTCTCTGGGGTTCATAGGAACATCATTCATAATAGCTGAGAAGTGAAAACAAGACAAATGTTTATCAACTTAAGAGTGGATAAACAAGCTGCAGCATATCTATACAATGGCATATTATTCAGCCATAAAAAAGAATGAAGTACTAATGCTTGCTACTACACAGATGAACGTTAAAAATATTATGCTAAGTGAAGGAAGCCAGACGTGAAAGGGCACATATTCTATGATTACATTTATATGCAATAACCACAAAAGTCAAACCCATAGAGACAGGAAGTGCATCACTGATTGCCAGCAGCTGGGAGGAGAAGAGAATGAGGAACAACTGCAAATGGGTATGGCGTTTCTTTTTGGAGTGCTGAAAATGTTTTGGAAACAGATAATGGTGATGTTTGCATAACTCTGAATCTACTAAATCCCACTGAGTTGTGCAATATAAAAGTAAATTTTATGGTATGTGAATTATATTATGCTGAGACCAACATTCCAGGATGAGTCTCTGTTTTACTAATAATTCTTGCTTGCAGTCTTTCTTTCTTTGCCTGCCCATATCTCTTCCTGTCCTGGGCCTAAACTGCTCATGACCACCTGTAGAGAAGAATCTCTTTAACTCTGCCAAATGATTCTCCAAAAGCTCTCATCTCCCAGTTTTCTTGGAAGCAGACTGAAGGGTGTTATTGATGTAAAAGGAACACGGGGCCTCTTCTGGCCTTTCCTCTGCCCGAGGACAGCTGACCTATGACCCAGGCCGGTACTGGACAGAATCCTCTGTCCAATAGCCAGACTCTTATCCAGAAATCTCTGGGTGCCTCCGAACAGCATCTGCTCTGCCTGGAAGTGTTCCACCGAAGAGGCGGGAGTAAGTCCCTGCCACTTTGAGCGCACTAGTCTGAGAGGGAGCATTGGAGGAAGTGAAGAAAGGAGCAAATGTGCCGTATCTTCTTTGGATGGTGGGAGCCATGGTGACTGGAGATCCTTTGGCTGGGCCCAGTAGCTCAGCCAAAATCATGAACCAATTCTAAATACTCACCAAATGCCTTTGATAATGTTGGAATGACTCCAGGAGCCGCTGCCCTCTCCTTCGGCCCAAGACGACTATGAAAAACCTGGGTAATGTACTAGTTGCCTGAAAAGTAAGCTGCTGCCTCTACCTGTCCTCCCAGGCTGATCCTCACTGAAACAGACGCTTGGCATTCTGGGCTCCTTGGTTAGCCACAACTGGGTAATAGCCCCATCCATGTCCCTCCCAGCCCCGCCGTCTGTACTTAGCCGCATGTACCTGTGCAGTAAGGCCAAACGTTGCTCCTCCATAGCTGTGGGGGGAGATTGTTTCAAGCTCTAAAGGGATGTTTTTGTATGGTGAGAACTGGAAGCCTGGGGAATTGAGTTGAAATCTTGGCTGTATTACTAAATGGTAATATGACTTTGGGAACATCATTTTCTTTGTCTGAGCCTCAATTTCATTACTCATTGTAAAATAAAGCAGAACAAGGCAATCTCAAAGGTTTCTTCCAAGTATAAGTTCTTTGCATCTGAGAAAAAAAATTGTAGTAGGAAACATGAATGTGAGATACTAAGAATTCCTTTCCCACTGTGGCTGGATAGCTCAGTCTATTGGAGCATCGTCACACAGGCCTAAAGGTTATGGGTTCAATTCCTGGTTAGTGCACATACCTAGGTTGTGGGTTCTCTCTCACCATTGGTATTTCTCTCTCTCTCTCCTTCTCCCTCTTTCTCTCCCTCTCCTTCTCTTCCTCCTCCTCTCTTTTTAAAAAAGATTTTATTTATTTATTTTAGAGAGAGGAAGGGAAGGAGAAACAGGAGAGAAACATTGATAGGTTGCCTCTCGCACGCACCCCAACCAGGGACCTGGCCCGCAACCCAGACATGTGCCCTGAGCAGGAATGAAACCTGCGAGCTTTCAGTTTGCAGACGGCGCTTAACCCACTGAGCAACACCATCCAGGGCTCCTTTCCTTGTTTTAATGGCAGGTAGGCGTTAACCTCATTTTCTCTGCTCCAATCCAACTGTCCAGCGTTGGAGAGAAAACACTAAGAAAACCAACCCTCACGCCTGCTCTATCCTAAGAACAGGATTTTGGAAGTCTGTGGAAAATTGTTGCCTGGTCAGACCATTTCCACTTTCTCTCCCCTCTTTCTCTGCCGCTTTCGCATCGCTGGTCTGACTGGTTATTCTTTTTTCCATCCTCATCCAAGGACATTTTTTCATTGTTTTTTTAGACAGAGGAAAGGACAGAAAAAACATCAATGCGAGAGGAAAGCATCAATTGGTTGCCTCCCATACATGCCCAGATCAGGGATCTCATTAGGTGCAGGGACCAGGGATCATCCCCACAACCTTGGTAGGTGCCCTGACCAGGAATTGAACCGACAACCTCTTGATGTACCAGACAACACTCCAACCAACTGAGCCATACAGGCCAGGGCTGACTAGGTATTCTTTTCAGGGATCAAGTCACACATCCCTGTAACCTGGGGGAGGGGACCGAGGTAAAAACTTTCCCTACTGTCCTTGACACAGTAAGTTGCTGGTAACTGTTTTCTAAGCAGCCTGGTTGCCTGGAATCACTCTGAGCCCTAGGATGGAATCCTCAGGCCTCAGGTTCCCAGAAAAGGTTTCAAAGGGGATTTTTACCTGGCTAGTTCCATGGCAACCACAAATACGGAAGGCCCTGGCCTTGGGCTTCTGTCCCTAAACTCACCAGACCACATTTGTTCAGACTTGGGGATGCGTTCAAAGTTCACTTTACTCTTCTCATACTCTCGGTCACATCCAAGAAGCTCCATCTTTAACAGTCATTCAGCTGCCACGCAGGTCTCAGACACTCTCCTGCCCGAACTATCACACTGTCTTCCCGTTCTCCTGTCTCTTTCAGCCCTGCCCCCTATTTCAGTTTAATTTTCACACAGCAATCAGAGGGATCTTTTCAAGATGTAAGCCACATCTTGTTACTCCTCTGCTCAAACCCTTCCATGGCTTCCTCCATGACTCAGGGCAAAGCCTTACAAAGGCCTGCGAGGCCCTTGCTCAGGCCTTTTCAACCCAGCTGCACATTCAATCAACGGGGGAATATTTTTTATTTTTTTCACAGTTTTCATAAAGGTCTATTTCATTATTGGTGGGTGGCTCATTTAACAGTTAAATACATTTAAATAATATATAGGTGACTCCATGACTACAGCACTGGTAACTAGATAGACAACCAATTCAACTAGAAACCAGCTAACAAGTAACTGTCTAAGTATTTAAAACAGCTCTTGTTTAGCTCATCCTTTGATTTGATCGCCTTCTTGCAGGGGAAAAAAGCCTGCTGGTCACACTAGAACTATATTAAGGCCAAATCTTCTGATATCCACTCCCGGAGGTTTCTTGTCAGCTGGATTAAGCCTCCAGCTCTGGGGCAAGCCCAAGTTTGTGGCCTCCAGCATTAATGCTCTTCCCAAGGACCAGACCAGATAGCGTAGGCTTCACACCAGGCCTGAATCTGACTGTAGCTCACTCCAGTTAAACTAGAGTTGTTGACTTTCGCAGAAATGGATGCAGTGGGATCCAACTGATATTTAGCTGCAATGCCAAAGCGAGTGCAGCTGGTACCCGATGTCTAAGCAAGGTTTCCAGAAGTGTCAAGATCTTCACATACTTCCTGATAAATTGAGCCTCCAAATTCTGCCCCATCATTGACATTAGTGTGTAGCTGGCAGCCCCCAGTCCTGTAGCCCACTGGAAAGTTATTCCTTATCAGCTTTGATTGGGCACTGTCAAAGGTTCTCTGGTATCCAGCAAGGCAGCCCACGTAACCAAAGACAGCTGAACCATGGATTGCAGGTCCAGCAAAATCAAAGTCAACATCGCAACCAAGGTTTATACATTCTCTCTTGTAAGAAGACTTGATTTTACCACTCTTTCCTGTGTTTGGTGAAAAGGTGGTATCAAATGTCAGTTTCAAACCTTGACATATCTGGTCTTCCATTGCGATTTCTGTTCCCAGAGTGTTATCAGTGTTCCATTTCTCTGTGAAAGTCACACCATACTCACACCATTTATATTTGGTCTCCAAGGTCCCAGTAGCTTTACCGCAGTCTGTATTAGATGAACCAGATGTTGAGAATTCCATGCCACTGCATGACTTTGTTTTCACATTCAGGTTTACCAACCCAAAACCAAATCCTTTGTTGAAAATATCTCTGGCAGCTTTGCCAAGGTCAGCGTACGATGGAGGGATACACATTGGCGGGGCCATGGCGAAGCCGTGGGAAAAAGTGATCTGCTCCGGAACGGCCAAAGGATCGAAGACACCCCCTGCCCCCTGGGTGGACTGCCTCGGTCCTCAAATGGGGAATTTAGATACAAATTCAGATTCCCCTCCCTCTCCACACCCTAGGCAGAATCACTCTCTCGTCCTGGGATCTGGAGCTGGGGGTGGTTTTTAAAGCTCCCAGGTAATTCTAAGGTGCAGCCAAGATGAAAAACCACTGCCTTCATGGATGTGGTTTCACATGATTCTCTGACCTCCTCTCCTCTCAGCCTCCCCGTTGTTCACTCTGCTCCAGCCACACTGGCCTCCTTCCTGCACCTCAAGAAACTGAATATGCCCTCCCCTGTCTGGCTCAGTGGATTGAGCATCGTTCCGCAAAGCAAAAGGTTGCCAGTTTGAACGCTGGTCAGGGCACATGCCTGGGTTACAGGCTGGGTCCTGGTCAGGGCGTGTGTGAGAGGCATCAGTGTTTATCTCCCTCTCTTTATCCCTCCCTTCTTCTCTCTCTCTAAAAATAAATAAATTTTAAAAATAAACCAAATATACTTTCACATCACAGCCCTTGCGGTGACTATTCTCGCTCTGTTTGGAATGCTTCCCTCAGCCCTCCACTTGTCTCATGTTCCCCTTCCTTCAAGTCTTTGCTCAAATGTCACCAAGTGTGAGAGGCTGCATCTAACTACCTAATAGTCCATAGAGAGGCTGAACATGCCTAGCATCTACCAGTTAGAGACATGCCAGTTAGAGAAATGTGCTATCTTTCCTATTTCTGGTATCCTCAGAACCCGCAGACTCCCCTGATCTCAAGTTTTTCTCCTTTGATTTTCATGTAATCACTATCGCTCGTGCTCCTGCCTCCAACCAGCTTCTTTTTCTTGTCTCTGCCTGAAGTCACCGCCTGCCAATGACAGTGGCATATCAAAGGTCCGTGATAAACTTGAACACTTCTCATTCAAACAGAAGTCAAGGGGAGGACTCAGCCTGAGTCTTACTGAGTGACAGGCTCCCAGGCTAAACGCTTCACATATATTATCTTGTTCATCTGATCACATAACAGAATAGAAACTGAAAAGGGAAGAGAGGTTATTTCCTCACACCCATTCCCTTCAGTCCAGGTCCACAGATCCTAGGGGATGGTTAGAGTTTCTAACAGGGGAAAGGATCCCCCCTTGCAGAAACGGTGCCTCAGACTTGGGGCTTGGCTTATTGCCTTTTTAGGAAGAGACAATCTGGAGGCCAGTCATCAACTAGTAACTAACAGACTGTGTCCACGTGCCTCATCAGCCTTACCCAAATAATGGCACTTCAGTCCTCAGTGGTAGGAACATCCAAGCTTATGCATTTGCCTATTGCCAACTGCATAAAATATAAACCCTCGTCTAACTAGGTTTCTTTTTCTTTTTTGCACGAACCTTCCACCCTTCCACCCCCCCCACCAGACCTGTGGGCCTGCTCTCTATCTATGAATCTCTATTTTGCTTGTTAGTTCAATTTGTTCCTTAGATTCTGCATATGAGTGAAATCCTATGGTAATTGTCATTTTCTGACTGGCTTATTCACTTAGAATAATGCTCTCCAGGTCCATCCGTGTTGTCACAAAGGGTAAAATGTTTTCTTTTTTACAGCCAAGCTGTATTGCATTGTGTAAATGTACTACAGCTACTTTATCCACTCAACTACTGATGGGCACCTGGACTGCTTCCAAGTCTTGGTGATTGTAAATAACGGTGCAATGAACATAGGGGTGCGTGAATAACAAAAAAAGAACCCACGGACACGGGCAACAGTGTGGTAATTGTGGAAGGGCAGAGGGTGGGTAAGGGGAAAGAGGGTATAAAGGTGACAAATGGTAATGGAAAAAATACAGTAAAAAAGGAACTATTAAAACAATAAATTGATAAATGTAAAAAAATAGATTTCTGCACAAGGCCTGATACCCAGCTGCTGTTTACTAAAACAATTACTACAACTATAACAATCTTGATACTGATAATGTAATAACAGCTTGAGGAGCTGCCTAGGAAGAATCTTGTAGCTGTCTTTCATATTCCAGTGAGTGAACGCATGTAAGCCTGGGGTTTCTTAACTGTATGCTTAACTGTAGTATCTCTGGAACCTCTCAAGGAAGACAGGGCCTAAGGATCTTTTTGCAGCAACGAATTGAAGCTTTGTTGCTATGTGCTAATGTGCACTTTTGCAGTTAGTAGAAACTCCATTTCCATCTCCCTCTTTTCATAGTGACCAAAATACTGTGGATAAGACTTCTGCAGACCCTCCCCCCAGCCCCAGGTTCAGGCTGATACTGACTGGGATGTATCTGGTGATAGGGGTGTGGCTAGAGCAGACGCTGAGACCCAGTACATTTCCTTGTCCATGACTTCGATGCCACTGCAGTTTTTGGCAGAAGGACTGCAGAACACACTTGCAAATCTTACAGGAACTCACTAGGTAGAGGAAGGAGGCAAAAGTGAAGCCATACAAAAGATGCAAATAAATGTTTCACTGAAGGGAATATACAGATGGCCAATAAGCACTTGAAAAAATGATCAACATCATTAGTCATGGGGAAATGCAAGTTAAAACCACCCTAAGATAGCACCGCACACCTACCAGAAGGTGTATCAAAACATCAACATTAAAATATTGAAATGAAAAATGAAAAATTGTAATAACACCAAATCCTAGTGAGAGTGCGAAGAAACTGAATCACTTGTGTATTGCTGGTGAGAATGAAAACGGTACAGACATGCTTGAAAACAATTTGACAGGTTCTTAAAAAAAAAGTCTGTAATTACCATGATGTAGCAATTATACTACTGGGCATTTGTCCTAGAGGAAAAACACTTAATGTTCACACAAACACTTGTATATGAACGTTCATAGCAGCTTTGTTTGTAACAGCTAAAATACAGAAGCAGCCCAGATGTCCTTCAACAGGTGAATAGCTAAACCAACAGTGGTAGCGCCAATAGGCAAACCAACACCCATACCATGGAATACAACTCAGCAATAAAAAGAAATGACCTATTGATACACACAGCAACGTGGATGAATCTAGAAGGAGTTATTACTGAGTAGGGAAAAAAAGGCAATCCCAAAGGTACATAGTATATGACTTCAATTTTATAATGTTCTTGAAATGACAAAATTATAGATATTTACCATTTCCAGCGGTTAGGGAAGGGAACGATATAGTGGGGACTGTGGCTATAAAGGATTGTACAAGGGACACTTGCTATGGAACAGTTTTACAGCTTAATTGTCGTGGTGATTATGCAGATCTACACATGTGATAAAATGGGACAGAACATAATTATCACACACACACTTGAGCACACGTAAAATTAATGAAGTCTGGATAAGGTCAATGGATTTTATCAGTATCAGTATCCTGGCTCTGACACTGTATAATAGTTATGCAAGATGTTACCACTATGGATAAAAGGTAAAAAAAAACTGGGTAAAAGGTACACAGGACCTCTCTGTATTATTTCTTACCCATGCATGTGAATCTACAATTATCACAAAATAAAGTCCTTTTTAACAAAAAAGATTGTTATGGCCAAGTGTAACGTATAGTCTTCATTAAGAATGTAATGAAAGGGAACCAAATCAGTTATAAAATAATTAGATATTCAAGGAATAACTTTTAAAAGAGCACTCATCCTGTAATATCACTGCGCATCCGGTTTTAAAAAAGGAAGATAAATTTGACAAAGATGATCAACCAAAATATAGATTTGTACAAGATCTTAAAGAAGTCAATAAATTAGCAATTCCTTTTAAAAATATAAAGCCATGTTTTTATTCCCTTTTGACCACCTGCGTCACCACTGACTGGCCAAGGTCTTTTGCCCTTTATTGTGAGTGGCCCTTTAAAAGCATCTTTTGTCCCGAGTTCTGTAAGCTCCACCCCTCCACTCCAGACCGTTTAGAAGCAAACCAATTTAAATCAACCCAGACGCAAATCTGTAAAAAACACTTAACCGTCTCTGGTTGCGAGTCGGAGAAGCCTGAGTCCGCAGTCAAGCCAACAAGGTACTGAATGATGATGTGGCCTCTTGCCACCCACTAGCTAGGCCAGCTTCCCCATGTCTAGTATCCTGTGCTAAACCTCCCCCGTGTGTCCCCATGGGTGTTTGTGTGTCCGTTGAGTGCCATGTGCCTTTGTATGTTTGTGTAATTGGGAGGTACGGTGGACTAGGAAGGGCTGCTCTATTTTGCTGCCTCCTGGTTTTCCTGCCTACAAATCTCTGGACTCGCACATTCACAAGTTTATCTGCTGCAGTGAAACCCAGGACTAAAAAGGAGCAAATTGCCCTACCTAGCACCCAGCTGGGGGAATCACTGAATCTAAAATTGGGGAAAGAAAATATTGGTTTCTTAACCACCCTGTAGGTAGCTAAAGGGGGTAAGAAGAGGAAGGGGCGTAGTTTACAGGCTCCTGGGCAGAGAAAAATGACCTCATTTCCCCTATGGATTCTTCTGATGCACCCAACAGTAGCTGAGCGCCACGTCTTGGCGTGAGGCCCAGGCTCCAGGCTCCGCGACTCTAGGTTGTGCCCACAACCATTGCTGAGGCGGTTCCTTTTCTCACAACTCTGGGGGTGAGTCACACACCAAAACAAACAAACATTTCCTCATATGAAGTAAGCCTGAAGTTTGCTGTTGGGACCCCAGTAAGCTGGCTCTCACCTGCAGGATATTCTGCAAGGTGGTCATGCCCTCCTGAAGCAATCACAGAGGTCTGACATTAGCCAATCAATGCCTAGAGATTTGATTATCCATACTGAGGGCTTTCTCCGTGGCTCCCCTCTCCCCTCCATTCTATAATCAGGATTGCCTAAGAAGAACCCAGAGGGTTCCTCTGATAGTGGGGCCTCCTCTGATTGGCTAAAGTGCCTTGCTGTATTTCATAATCACATCCTTCGGTTCTGGAAGAAGTATATCCCAAATCAGCGGAACAGTTCATC